CAGGAATGGATTTGATCCACAGGGTTGGAGCTTATAATCATGTTTCTGTGTGTGTTGAACATTTGTGCGGCTTATTAGGAGTTAATGCTGAAACAATTAGTTAATTATTTGTTGAATTTCAATAGCAATTTAATAATTTCATGTCAGTTATCAAGACCTTTCTTTCCCAACTCCTCATACTGTATGTGAGGATTTGTTGCTTTTCTCTTTTTTATATATTTTAAATTTCTTTGGATTTTAAGCTGTTGGTTGATCAATACAAGACAGGAAGAAATCACCTTGGTCTCTGGGAAGCTGGGTTGGGTGTTTTCCATTCTTTCCTTAACTTTTATAGAATGACTGATTAATCTCCTTGTGTTCACAGACTTTGAGGACATACCCCCTGTGGCAGCCCAGGACCTCAGCAACATCTTGAAGCAGGGCTACTTGGAGAAGAAACGCAGAGGTAAAGCAGCATATAGATGCCACCCCTGGGTGAAGTAGCCTTATCATGTTTTAGTTACAGAAAGTTGTGTTTGAGGGGTGAGATTCACTGCATAGGAACAATTTTGGTAGCCGCAGTAAAATACTCTTTAGTACAACATAGAAAACTGCAACCATCAGGTAACTGAGCAGAATTAAAGAAGCCATGCAATGTATTTGAAAATATTTGTGTGCAAATGTTGTATATGAATAATCATCTGCACATGAGTAATTTTCCATTTGGATCTATTTTTGCTGATGTTCTTTGTTTAGACCACAGCTTCTTTGGCTCAGAGTGGCAGAAGAGATGGTGTGTCCTCAACAATGAGATATTCTACTACTATGGGAGTGAAAAAGGTTTGTTTGACCTGCCAACATGCAGAAGCATTGCAGATACTTAAACAGATCAGATAACATCGTACCATGTTTGCCCCTCCCTACAGATAAACAGCAGAAGGGTTCCTTAAATATCAACGGCTACAGTGTGCAGCTGGTGACCAACCTGAGAAAAGACTCCAAGAAAAATGCCTGTTTTGAGTTCTTTGCACCAGGTCTACGAACTTTCCAGGTTTGTGTTACCACTGCAGCAAGCATCCACAGATCACTAACTGTGTCAGCAATTCAAGATAGCTTGATAGATGTTATTATGGAAATGGTATTATGACTTCTGAGACTGCAGCAGTGTCTTTATCAACTAGTCCTTGTGCTCTAAGTGATTCAGCTAAATTACAATTGAACACTGGCTGATCTGAGCTGATCACAGATGTGCTAGTATCATGTAAATATCATCCAGTAAGTAACAGGAAATTGCAATACATACATGATAACAGGACTGTATGTTTGGTCCACTAGGGAGCAGTGAGTTTATTCTTCTACTGTAAAATGTCCCACAAAGTATCACTATCACTGTCCTGGTTGCTGATTTTCAAAAAAATGATCAAAATTATTTCTCTTAGGTGATTAATTCAGGAATGATCAAAACTAAAATTAACCAGCAATCAATTAATTGTCATTATTCAAGCAAAAGTGCCAAAGCTTCACAGATTCAGACCTTTCAGATCTGAATATTTGCTGATTTCATAAGTATTACTGTGTAAAACAGTAAAATTAATATGTTTAGAATTTGGACTACTGTTTGGACCAAACAGAACATTTGAGGATGTTGGGTTTAGGTAAATTTGATTGGGATTTTTCACAGTTTTCTGACATTGCTCTGACCGATTTGGATATAATCATTAGTTGCACCCCATGTACTGTATGTGATTATGTATAAATAAATAAACACTGGCAGTATATAAAAAATCCAGTATCAGTTGGGCTTTAATCTAAATTTGGAAAACAATTAAGTCGGGTATCGGTAAAGCAGACTGGCAGCCATACTGCCTGATTATAACACTGTTAATAGGAATGCATAAGCTTCAATTAAAATTTTGCGACAGATTATTTTAGAGCATATTTCATCGCTATTTTAAGAGGGAAATTTTTCTACATGTTTTTGTTTTATCTTTTTTATTAGACTGCTCGGTAGCACGTTTGCCTCCGAGAATACAAATCAGCACATAAATTCAGCCTTAGATGTGATAATGCTAGAATTCTGGCCACTCTCTCCCTCCAGTTCACTGCCAGCAGCCCTCAGGAGGCCAGAGAATGGGTGGACCAGATCAATTTTGTCCTTAAAGGTAAACCACCATGTCTTTGTGCAGTTTTTCCATCACTGTGTTGCATGTGTGGGCTGTTTTGGAGAGCCAATCCCTGTTTTGTTGCTTCTCCCTTTTTCTTTGAATCAGAGGTTTAAGGACAGAGGATGTTAGAGGATGTCATACACCGATACAAAATGATACCGGGATTTATAAATAAAATTGACTTGAGCTGACTTATTAAAAGTCACATAAGAAAATGGAGAAAGCAGTTAATACCTTCCAACCTTTTTATTTCGCCAGCGTTCTACTAAAGTTTGCTTGTGTTTCCGAGGAGCACCAAGGTCAGAAGTGAAAGGGAGCCCTTTATCGTCTCTGACTCAGACCAAAACCACCCAATCCATCATAAACTGCACAGTCGAACACACCAGTTCTGATCTCCTCATTCGACATGTCACCCGCCACGTCATGTGCACCGTCATGTAGCTCTAGTTCTCCTCCTCCACGCTCCCCAGCCACTCCCTCCCTAACCTACCAAATTCCAACTTACAGGAAATTGATTGGTGGATGTTCTGGTTATCCTCCTGTGTCATTGATCTCTGCTTGGCCGCTGGTGTACGGCAGAGGACCTGATACCCTGTGTTGCAGTGGCCAGTCGCCTGCAATGAGACGGCTCCTCCATCTGAACGAGCAGCCGTGCCTCCTCTACTCTAAAATGGGCTCGGGCCGGGCCACTGATTTGCGGGAAGTAACAGACACTCGGCAGTTTGTCTTACTTCCTTCCAGCCCAGTTTTTCTTCTAAATGCAGTCTGATCCCGAGCAAGTAGATGTCTTTTTTAACCTCTTCACCTCCTGAATTTACCTGGCTTTCCTCTTTTCAGTGTGCACTTTCATACATTTATAGAAATCGTTTTAAAGAAGTTTTTTAAGGCATTTTGCTGTATTTATTTACAATGAGAGCAAAGGTACAGACAGGACATGTGGGAAGAGAGAGAAAGGGGTATAACATGCAATAAATGATGCCGTTATATAGGATGGACTTAATTACTAAGCCAATGGACAAAATTCTTTGATAAATGAAAGATGCTGTATAAAGGGAAGATGTGAGAGATAGGGGCTGATATACAATGTGAGGAAAGAGGTGAAGCCAAAACCTCAGCTGAACAGAGTATTCGTTTAATGGATTTTTGTGTGTGATTTTAGCAAAAGCTGCCTTAAAATTATTCAGTGCAGTTGCTCCAGCCCTCAACTCAATGTAAAATTCATATATGGGCTTTAAATCAGTAACTTGTTCATTGGTTAATCCATCCATCCATTTCTGCTGTTTATACAGATGATTAAATATTGATATTATTGTTTTATGCTGCTAGGAAGTACTGAGAAAAATGTGATATTAATGCATTTGGTAAATACTTGTAGGCTTTATCGTCCCTACAGGATTATACTGTTATCTTTCATACTTTGGCCTGTATGACAGTGAAACTGGTATTACATTTTATACCAAGAGGTATTCAAAAGGTCTTAAAATGCCTTAAATTTAACTTGGTAAACCCAGCAGAGATCCCGAAGAGACCATTTAAGTCATTTATCAAGCAAAACTGCCAAACATTTGCTAGTTCTGACTTCTCAAATGTGAGGCCTTGCAGCTTTTCTCTGCTTTATGTCAGTGCAAACTGACTGTTCCTTAGGTTTTAACTGTTAGACAAAATAAACAATTTGAAGACATCACCTTAGGCTCTAGGAAATTTTAATGGTTGTTTCTTTTGCTTTCTGTCATTTTATAGACTCAGCATTGATTTCTTATTTGGAAAACAATATCAATAGATCATGAAAATAGTCATTATTTACAGCCTAAAGCCAAATGCCTTTAGTGCTTGTTACTATGCAGTCAGAACACGTTAAACATTTCTCTTACTTTACCCTTTAATGCATGCGTGTGCCTTTTGTGTGCCCCATGCACTCTATCTTGATGCTAACACTGCCCATCACTTTGTCTCTCCTTCCTTAGATCTCAGCTCCAGCTCTATCCCCTATGACGATGACGAAGAAGAAGAGGAGACCTATGATGATGTTGAGGGGTTGACAGACTCTCCCCCACCTCAGACTGGTCCTGCCCAGGCCTCCCAGAGTGGCAAACAGGGAGGAGGACAAAACCCAGGGGAGGCTAACGAGGAGGAGGAGGATATCTACGAGGTGCTGCCAGGTATGATGATGTGGTTATCTCACATGCAGAGATGCACCAGCACCCACTCATGCACAGATAAATAGACAGAAAGGTGCTGCACACATAAACCCTCATGACACTCAGTCAGACAAATAGACAGTCTGTCTGCCTCACATACACTCGAGCCCTAAGGGATCTTTGCAACAAGAAATATTTGTGATGATCTCGCCAGGCTGTGATATTGGTGTTGTTAGGTGCCTCCCTATCACTACAGTTCACAGACTGATCAGTCATTTTAAATCAAGCAACACTAATAAGCTTGTCAGGTGTGGGGTGGCTGCTGCAGAGCCATACAGGGCAGGAAGGGGAAGAGTCTCCTTACACAGAGTAGAAATCTGCCTCCTCTGGTCTCTGTCCTCATTTCACCGAGAGCTCTCTGTTGAGATATGCTGTTGAAATCAGCGAGAGCCGGGTAGGACTGAATGCTCTGTCATAGAACATCCAATTAGCTAATGTTGCCAGGCAACAAATATCCTACAATTCAATCCACTAAGCAGAGTTTTGGCTAAAATCGCCTAGCAACAGCAATTTAGTTGAAAGGAAGTAAAAATTGTATCTCTCAGGGCTTAAAATAGCTCTGGAGCTCTTGAAGTCACATGTTTAATAGAAATTAGAGTTTGATGGAAAGTGCTGCGAGACCCCCAGAACAGTGTGAGAGTCCCTGCTGAGGCTAAGACAGCTCCACATGGCAGGGTGGCTACAAGATCCCGAGAAGGACAAAAGGAGTGATCCGATCTTCTCAGGGCCATCGTCCATCACACATTCTATTAAATAAGATAAATCAAGATTCTGTTTCACTCAGTGAGTACATTGCCTTTGCCAAAATCACTGGTGAGAGGGAAATCAGTCTTCAGACTGTCACTCCGGTGTTCAGAGCCATCTGGGAGGAGGTACAGACCCTGACCACAGATGGCATATCGAATGACGAGCTCTTTCGTTCACTTTCTCACCCCTTCACTTATCAATCATTCTGTACCTCTCTTTACTCACAGCCTCTACACAGGGATTAGGTACTATTAAATTATTTGATTGTTAAGGTTATTTTCATTGATCCGGATTGAAAAAGATGAAGAAAGCTGCTTGTGCTTGCATTTAAAGAGTTGTCCTTTCTAAACAAATACACACATTTTTGTATTTGGTTACATTTTAGTTCTTTTACTGCTCCCATGAATGTTTATGATAACTTAGAGTAGCTGTTCAAGTTTGATATTATTTTCCCAAAGTTATCATTAAATATCTGAAAATATTAAGAAAATATTAAGAATTAGCTCAATTGTGTCTGATTCCTCTTGCAGTGTAACAGCCACACCAGCAGAGAAATGCAGAGTAGGACTGAGGCATCATTTTCTAGGTGATGAACTCCCTCAGTTTTATCAGAGCAAAACTCCGAACGTAGCTCAGTTGCCAGCAGAATGCAGAGTGATGGTGGTAGTGGCTCTGTTGCTGATGACTGATTTTATTGACTGGAAAATTAAATCATTTTGATATAGAAACCAGTGGCCCATAGCGGCGGCCTCTCGACTGAAGGATGCTCTTCTCTACAGCAGTTGAAGAGTAGTGAACAAATGTTTGAACCCTTTGCAAACAAAATTAAAATCTGTTTTTTTTTCTCTGTTGCTGTGCTAACAGTGCACTGCCATGTCTTGGTTTTTTTTTTTTTTTTAAGGAAAACCATGATTATGTATTTTAAAGAAATGAGCAATTTTGTTAATGAAACATGCAACAGCCTGAAAGTGTTGGTTATTGTGTGTGTTTGAGAAGACAAAGACCTCCCTCACATAGATGGAGAAGCTTTCTGCATTCAAATAAAAACTGTATACCTGATCACAAATATGCATGTGGTGGATCTACAGTGTGTGTGCGTGTGTGCGCGTGTGTGTCATTCTCACTGCTCTTCCTGGAAGCAGAGGCGCAGGCTGTGCTGGAAGCTGGATAGTGTTGCTGGGTTGTGGCATTGCTGTCAGCCTGCTAGTGTTTAGGATGGATGTGGGAGACCGAGGGCAGGCATATCACTGTGTCACCTCTCAGACCACCAGGTGCCACGCCCCACAGTCGATGACTTGTCCGCCTCTGCACGCTTTAAAGACAGCCTCTTTTTCTTCAACTCTTCCTGCCTCGGACTCTGATACATTTGAAAAAATTAATACTCACTGAGGAATTCAGTATAGTTAAAGAAAAATACATTTCTTGTGTCACGTGGGGATATCAGAGATTATCTGACAATCCTTTTAATTTATTTTTTGTATATTGGTGTATCTTTATGCTTTTTTAAGTTGTGAATTTGCCCATTAATGTGTGAGACAAACCAAAATGAGGCCCACAGCAGGTAATGCTTCATTATTTAGCTTTTTTTTTCTCATGTCCAAAAACTTGGGCCTTGGTGTCTGTTTTAAAAATGCTAACTTAAGTCAGACAAGGATAAATATTCTGTGACAAATACCTGTTGTTGCTGTGCTTTGTTTGTTTAGAAGATGATTTCCTAGATCCAATGGATGAAAGCAATGAGAACAACAACAAACCAGGTCAGAATCTCATTACAGTCTTGTACTAATAATGAGAAAGTTTCAAGCTGAATAGTTTTTGTCTAATATGTGTGAAAAAAACATTGTTTTGATCTTTTATTTAAATGCATGCTCTTCATTTCCTTTCAGCTTGCTCATCAGATTATGCTAACTACTACCAGGGTATATGGGAATGCCAGACCGACGAGGAAGATGAGCTGGCCTTCCAGAGAGGAGATCTCATCTATATCATTAGCAAGGTCAGCAACACCATCAGCAGATAATATATAAATAATCCAAGAGGTTATTTAAACTTCTCTCAGAACTCTGACCGCACGTCTCAGTCAGTTTGAACTGGAGATTACTATTCTGCTGCTCATCTCTAATGGGAACCATTCCTGATTTTGCCACTGACTTGGACATAATTGCAGGAGCAATTACAGTAGTTTAAAATGAGTAAAATGTGATGCAGATGTATAAAATGTGTAATTATTTAAGGGTTAAACAGTATCAGTAATCACTTTGTCCTCATTTACTTTCTGAACGTGCTGATATCCCCAACATCTAAATTCCTCTGTTAGTGAGCACTTGCGTCTCGATGCAACAGAGAAGCATCAACAGTGGCATTGTCTGTTTGCAGGCCACTAGGGTGAAGTGCCATTCGGGCGCTGCGTAATGGTGCTGTTGTTCATTATGGAGCCTCTATCACAGGGGTTAATTGAGTAGGCAGCCATGCGAGGTTCTTCCTTTCTGTTTGACATAAACTGCAGGTGAAGCCATCGTGCATCTCAGCCCTTTTCTCTCAATCCATTTCCTCATGTTTTACGACCATCTTGTAGTTACATGCAGAGTATCTGCCAGTGAAAAGCCACCCCACTGGAAATCAGTAGCTTGTAATTTGGGCACGCTTACTCTGCTGCATACAGACTGTTGCTATTGGTCGGTTTGAAATTGAATCATCATGTTCTGTGTTTGGGCTAAATTATTTGAAGAGCAGTGGGAGGAAGAAATTACAGTATACTGAGCTTTTTTGTTAGTAATTATGTGATTGAGTTTGAGAAAATTTATTCAACCTGACGATTTGCAGTTAGAGCCAGTGAATTTTAATTATCTGTAAAGTTTTCTATTTTAGTACAGAAACAATAATGTTGTCACTTTCTTTAGTAAATAAATAAGTCAAAGATTTAGGGTTAGATGAACAAACCGAATCCGTAAGTGTTTTTTTTATTTATTTATTTTTTGTTTATAAGAGCAGATGTGGCACAGGTGAAATATGCTCTTTGCACAAGATGGACTTTTAATTGAGGTTCTCTTGGCAGTGCCAGATTAATGAGATGCCAGCCATTACTGTCTGTGTGTGCTAGTTGATAGGAGAAAATGTCAGCACAGCCATGTCCATTTTTCACATAAGGATGACAAAGGCAGCATACTTGGGGAAACAATGGGGACCTGGCTAGTGCTACAGATCCACCTCAGACAGCCTCAGCCCTGGCCTATTACCTTCCAGTGTATGGTTCAGATTACCTCCTCACTGGAGACTTTAGAAGCAAAGGAAGTCCAGGTTGGAAGCAAGACTTAGTTGTAGTATCACACAATCTTAATGACACACATTACTCTTGTTTTGTCCAGCCGTGTGCTGAAGTCATAACACAGTGACGAACTGGGAGAGAGTATTCTAGCCATCTACTAATGGATTTAAAGCAAGAGTCTGGTTGTAAATTATTTAGAGGGGATCTTTGGACTGCTTCTGAATGTTTGGTTTTGTGTGAGGACATGATTCCACCCGTGTCTCATTTTGTGTCCTAATGGCATCACATTTCCCTCATGAATAGCATTATTTGGATTATAGCCTGTAATCGGCTGTTTATTTTAATGAGCCCGTGGGGAGGGCTTCCCTGCTTTTTCTGTGTGTACACCAGGGCCCGCAACTGTTCAGCTTTATGGGGATTCCTGAGAACCCTGACCTCGATGAGTGAAATACGGACCCTTGGCTAGAACTCAAGTTTGTCACTTAACTGGGGACCCAGACACATGAAATGGCCGTAATAAAACCAGGCCCCATAAATTCTCATAGAGGGTGGGAGGCCTGGTTGTCTGTGCTGTTATGTCAACACTGACCATAATTACAAGGTAATAAGGACACGCTCTAAGTGCTAAATCAATGGCGCTAACAAACTGTTATATTTAAAGCTGGGATGTGATTGACTGCCAAAGTGCAGAATGGGATAGCCACAGGCATGGTGTCTTATGGCTGTGAACTGAGGAGAACATGCCGATTGTATAAAAGGCCCTAATCCATCATTATTGATCTCTCACTTACTGTAAAGTGGGGGCATTTTTACTGTATTTGTGTTTTTTTTTTTTTTTCCCCTTGTGTGTTGCCGGGTGCGCGCACATATCTGTGTATCACTGACAAAGTAAATAAATTAGGAACCTCACAACTCATATGAATTCCATTAGTTCAGGAGAATTAATCTCGTAGTGTGCCTCTGCTGCCGGTTTCAGCGATGCCTAGCTCGCTTTCCGCAGGGCTTGATGGCAACGCTCGGCATGCTGATACATGAGGTAGAAACACACAGTGACATCCGTCTTGTGATCTTTGCTTTGGCATTTCATTTCTGGGAGCTTGCATTTTTCTAATACACATTATGGCTTTACGCTGATGTTTTAGTGTGTGATAACAAATATCAGCAAGCTCAGTTTTTTGCAGTATCACACACTCAGATTTTTTTTACTTGATTTAAATTGTTGTGATGTTTCACACACATTTCCACTTCATCCGCACGATCTAAACGGCATCATAGCCTGTAACATTCAAAGGGGAATTTGTTACAGGATTTCCAGTATGTTGTTACAGCATTGGATTAATTCATCACAGTGGCTAAAGGCTATTGTTTCACTTCACCCTGTAATGCCTGTGTACATAGCTGTCCCCCACTAAACCATAAGGTTGTCCTGCATTCCTACCCTCTAATTTATATAGCTACAATCAAGAGACATGGGCTCTACAGGTCAGCTGTCACATTCCTGTATTCCCACAGGCACTCATGGAGAACGGCGGGATGGAGTGGGAAGAGATTTATGGCACAAACCCATCCGGGGTCCTTTAAACTCTGGCAAACGCTGCTGCCACCTCTCCCTCTTTGCTCTGCTCACCTCTCAATCCTGTCCAATCGAAACACAGAGAGAGGGAGAGGGGTCAGCCAATCCGGTGCATCTCCCAAAGCAGAGTCACTTAACATTTGGCCAAAGTGTTGAGCTACAGCTGCTTGTTCAGATGCTGAGAACATGGACACCACTGACACCTTGTGGTGATTTTCAGCACACTCTTGTAGCAGGACACTTTTATTAAATAACTTGTACAAACACCAAAAGCTGATTTATAGTCACTAATAATGCAATTTATGATATTAAAATTTTAAAACTAATTTTAAAAATATTTTAAAACAGCCACTCATTCTATCCAAGCTACTTTTGACAGTCTTGCTTCAGGGTCGTAACAGGCTTCAAGCCGGTTTGGCCCACTGCCCACAGGTCACACCGACTGACCGCAGCCAAAGAAAAGGAAAGTGGCCAAACAATCAGATGGGAAAAGTCAAGCAAGAGAGATAAGGGGGGCTCCTTTATTCTTTTGTATGAACTCTGTCCCCCCTCCTTTCTCCTTTTCTCTGTCACACACCCATTTAAAGACCCCTAGCTGCTATTGTGGCCATAGACACCAAGACGCTATAGACAGGCAAGACATCCTATTTACCACCCAAAGTAGCAGGGGGCGAGTCTGGGGTTTGGGGTCATGCAGGAGGCAGCGGTCATCCCCCGGTCAAATACAGTAGGTCATTATTCAGCCCAAGCCAATAGCCCAGAACCACGTCCGAGCAACACACCCCCAATCCATTCCGCTTAATTATTATAAATGAGGGGTGGCGTAAACAGCCATCATTACAGACACTCAGTGGCATACACAAATCCACTTTAAATTGCTATTAAGTTAAGGAGCTATCTGTAATCCCAAGCGTGCATTAGAAAGGAGCGAGTAGGTTTTCTTTTTATTAAATCTCATCGTCCCTGAGATATTTTCAAACGTTCTCATGCTCTGTCATGTTTCCAATTTGAAGCCAATTCACTGATTTAATTAAAAGCCCACTTGGAAAAAAATGGACACTAAGTAGCCATTTCAATCTCTGGTTGTGCAGAATTATGGTCAATATTTCTAGATGGCTTTCAACAAGATTTTTTTTTTGGCTCAGAATTCTTAGAACGCCCCAAAATAAGCATTGTCTCGCATGGTTTCAGGTACTACCAGGACCGGTGTACCTGCAGTGAGGACTTGCTAACCTGATTGTGGATTATAGATCATGGGTTTCTGTCTGATAGAGATGTCCATGTTTCTTTATTAGGGTGACTAGTGATAGAGGAACTGCAGAGAGCTGCAGTGTATTTGATCAGTCTATGTAGAGGAGAAGGGAGGGGGGCAACAGAGAGGTTACAAGAGGAAAGACAGCTATAGGAGAATGGAATGGGGGAAAGGAGGGAGGGGGTTGGAGATGAGGAGGGAGGAAGAGATTGCCTCAGTCAGCTGGTGGTCGAGGAAAGATGCCTCATGTGTCAGGCTTATTAGCACTCCCCCTAGTTTGTATGCATTTGGGATTTTGTGTGCGTGTGTGTGTATGTTCCATCTGGTTGCACGGGTGTGTGTTTGAGGAAGGAAAACAGGACAGGAAGAGGACATGCAGCCAGGATCTTTACTGAATTTTACATTTTACTGAGCAAAGATGCATTTCTTACGAAGCAGAGAGATGTTGAAGCTGTGTTTTGTTTGGTTACGTGTCCGAGGCATGACATGACACCTGTCTCACCCGTCGTCTTTCACTGCATCCACCCAACCACGACTCACCTTCTCCCTGCTTCAGGCACGGGTAGCTATCACTCCATCCTCCGGTCGGGAACTTGAGCGATGGGCCTATCAGAATGCCACCATTAGCCAGCCCCCTGAGTGGTAAATAAACGATTGCGCTGGTATACTGCAGGTGTTGTCATGGCAACCTGCTCTCCGCGCCAGCCCCGCCCACGCTCATTCCCTGCTCTCTCGGCAGAGGAGTCACCGGGAGGTCAGCGAGTCAACACGTCACAGCCACCACGACACGGCGCTGTTCGACCCCCCCTTCCTTCCATCGCTCCCACACAGAGTTGATGTGATCTGCAGCCAGGTTGCAGCTAACACAGGCTCTGATATGTGTCACCTCGCACACAGTGTACATCGTGTTAATGAGACTCAACCAGACATTTCCCAGAACTGAGCCGCTCATGGACTCTTGATTTTTCTCACCCCAGAGCATCTTAGAGGGAATGTCTTCATGAACAACTTGTCCAGTCATTCTTAAGCCTGTTCATTGCCACAGATGCAGAATCACACTGAAACAAATCAACCTAAAAGACAAAAGGAGGAAAACAAACAGAAGGAAGAGGGCATTGAGGAGTTAGCTTAGTTTTTATCATTTGGATAATTTGCTCTCCACGCCTCTTGGAATGTCCCTATGACAGCAGGTGTACTCTGGATGAACCCATTTCAAGTATGAGGAAGATGGACTCTGCACGCCTGACAGACTTGCACCGCATTGGCACCCACTCTGTGATGTAGCAGTTGTATTAAAATGGTGGCGCTGATAATCCAAAAGACCTTTCTCAGGGAGAATTTGAGACTGACTGCACAGATGGGCCGGGAAGATAAATAAAACTCTCTGTTACTACGGTCGGTGGAATAGTGCTGCGACGCCCCCAAGGGAGAGAAAAACTGTTTTGCTCCCTCTTTCCGATGCCTCCCCCCCCGTCCGTCTGTCTCCCTTCTCCTCCACCTCTGTTCACATTCTCTCAAATGGGAACCAGAGCCAGCTTTCCGCAACCGGACTTTTCCCTCTCCAGTCTTATGGGGGGCATAAAAAGACCATTTTGGACGTAACTTTTCCCTGCATTATGAGCTTGAACACCCTGAACTGTCAGTTTGTCAGAGAGCCAAGCATGCTGGAGCATCCCAGTCAGAGCTGTCATCGAGGTTTGTAGGGGAACACAATGAGGCCTGGGTGGACAGTCTGCTTATTGTGTGTACCTCTCTGAGCCATAAGAACACTAGAGTCTGAACTTTATCATTTTCTGAGTGAGCCATCCCTCCGTGCTGTCCAGACACCTCTCATTAGCTGCAGGCCTCTGTGGCTGTGGAGATGTGTCAGGTCGGGATGAAACGCCGTTTATGTCAGAGCCTGGGTGCGTTTTTACAGCAAGAACTTGATCTGATTCCAGTCTTAGATAAGAATGTTATAAACTGGTGTGTGTCTGCTTACATGTACTAACACACGTAGTACAAAGCCAAATATTGACCATGATCAAGATCTGGTTGGAGCCCAGCTCCTGTGATCAGATGACCTTGTGGTGACTGATATGACTTGTGTTCCTAAAGCACTTTAACACATGTAAGAATGAATAAAAGGTGTAGTTATTTTATACTCACACAGCTGAAACTCCACTTTTAGATTTGAAAATGTTGTACATGTAAAATATCTGCATGTTTCAATTCTTTAAGGGATGTAGGTATATAAGATTTTCACTGCTAAATAAAGTATCAAATTTAATAGAACATTCAACTAAATAATAAATTATTGTGATCAGGAGCATAAACATTTAATCCTGTTGATTTGATTTGATTTTTTCACTGAAGAATAAATGCAACTTAAATCTCACATTCTGCCCAAAAGTCATTTTGATTAATTTTAATACTTTCAAAAATGTATACCACAAATATTAAAAACAGTAAAAAAAGCAACTTAATTCAACCTTAAATTAAGCCTTGGTTTAAAAAGAGGGACACATATTTTAAGGCCAAATTTTAGCCTCAAATGACTTCAGCTCAGTGTGATGAAATTATTTTTTAATATTATTATAGTATTATTGTCAACATCATCTTGTTGATACACTCCCATGTCCTGTTTAGCTCATAACATATTTTTAATTTTGCCACTCAAAACCAGGACCTCTATAGTGCTTTTTAACTACAGTAACAGATGTAGATCTTAATTTTGTTTTTAACTAATTAAATCAAATTAAGCTTAATCACAATACATTAGATTTTTTTGTTTGTTCAGTCTGTAAAATGTCCAGAATGAGCACACTTGCTCCTAAGAAGTGACAAATGTTTGCTTGCGTTTTACCAGCCGTCTAAAACCGCTTATTAATATTAATATGAAACTGACAAAAATTTGTTTTATGTTGTCAGTCACCAGGTTGAGTTACATTTTAATCTATTGTGATCCACCAGCTGTAGCTCTTTTTTTCTGTGCACATTTCCATTTTTTTCCTGGTTAAAGTTTAGTTTCTTTTAAAGGGGTCTTTCCATATAGTATATAAATAAAATTGACTGAACGTGATTTTACACAAGGAAACCTCAGGTCCTGTTTCTGTATTTGTTTAAATCACAGAACAAAAATTAAATCTTATGATCGGTCGGACTCACGCAGGCCGTTATGTACATACTCTTTGTCGTCTTATTGTTTAATGAAACCCCTCCAGGTTAATGGATCCTTTTTTTTTTAAATCAGAATATTGGATGTGGGTGTTTTGCATCCAGGCTTTTCTTTATTTCCTTTGTTGAAGTTGAGTTTACACAGTGCAAGAGCATTTTAACTGCATTATTTTAGTAGCTGCTGTAAAATCAGGGCCACGTATAGTTTCAGTTCAAAATGTTGCTTTTAATATTATAATAAAAACAATCATAAAAAAAAAAGTGAGATTGCTGCTTTACTTGTTGGACTCATCAGAGATTCATTTATTTATTTTGGGTTCAGGAGTACAACATACATGGCTGGTGGGTCGGTGAGCTGAACGGCGCCGTGGGTATCGTCCCCAAAGACTTCCTGCACCCTGCCTACATCATCTGAGCCCCAACAGGTACCGACGCACGCTCTTATCATCAGCATTATGGACCATTACTGTGGCCTAATACACAGAAACAGTCCCCCTGGTACTCATCCAGATTGCCACTGAGGCATATTCAGTCGTTGACCTGCCATTTATGGTATCTGCTGGCTGGAAGAAGTACTGCATAAAGCAATCTGAATGGTGCAATGGGCAATAGTTGAAAATAAATATGTGCAACAAACGCATGATTACAGTGTCAGTTGTCCTATTTAACAAAATGATTTCCTAATACTGTGAGATAGGCACAGCTTCAATGAATTGTGAATTATTAATGCATGTTTATCTGATAGTGTTTGGTTTTTTCCTTCTGCAGAGCTGCTGCTGACATGTCCATGATTTCAGCTGTCAGATAATCAGTTATAATTTGGAAATTATTCTCATAAATTTATATCATGGAGATCTGCTGCAGTAGTACTTCTTCCTCCACACTGTAAGCCATTTATAAAGGGTGTGAGCTGAGACAATTGGTCAATTATTTAACCATTTGACATAAAATTAAGTGACAATTATTAATTCTTCTGTGGTTTCAACTTCTCAAATGTGAGATTTTTTTTTTTTGTATAAGTTACAAACTGCATGGTCTTGGTCTGGTAAAAGTTTTCGTTGTAAGAGTATTTTTTAATATTTATACACAAATCATGATATCTGATAATAGTAATTTGTTGCAACCGTAGTGCAAATTGAATAATCATGGTGTAATGATACACTGAATGATTTACAGGCTAAAATTATTGTAAATGAGTTCCAATAAATTAAGTGGTTGTTTCCTCACTTGACATTTTTTAAAAATTGCAGATATTACAATATGTATCCATATTTAAACCACATACTGTCTGGAGTAGAACACATATCAACTATCATTTGCTGCTTTCTGTGCATTGTTTCACGTTCAGCTGCATGATCAGTTCATATGCTGCAGTTTGTCATTCAGCCTAGCCTCAGTGATAGAAATGTCGACAAATTTGAAACACTTGTCAGTATAATAGTTTTACAGCAGCACAAACTCCAGCCTCCAAACTGATCATCCAGTTGATTCAGTGCATCTGAAACAGTTTAAACAACATTATCACCTTCATGAAGGAGGATTTATTGCAGGACTGTCAGATTAGACCGACTCAGTTTTAGCTGGATGTACCTAATAACCTGAGCGCCACCAGGAGGCAGGATTGCACCACTGTCTTGCCTTGATGTGTGTTGGATCAGGTTAATAGCATAAAAACAGGCAGAAAGAAACAGTCAAATGTGACACGTTAGAAATGAGTAAATCAGTCAGATAATTATTAGACATTAATGTGTTGAATCAAATGTGTTAGTAATGTAGTTTAGTAAGATTCAAAGTCTGCTCCAGTCTGCTTTGCTTCAAGGTTAGAAGACAATGTTGATTCTGAAAAGTGTACCTTGACACCAATTGTTTTCTTGTATTCATCCTGTGTTAGAATTATGTCTGAATGATTGTTTTAGTTACGCACCACGTAACAGCACATACACAGAATTCTTCATTTTGTTATGGCCAGCGGCTCTATGCAGCTGGAGCTCTAGATAAGAGGAGGAGACGCTGGACTGTCTCCATCTCATGATGTTTTGTAATGTTTTTGTGTAAGGGGTTAGCCCAAAACCTTATAAATGCTCTGTGTTTCCGGGATCTCCTCTCTCCAGCAGCCAGCCTGTCTCTCTGGAGGAAGGAACAACCCGGGTCATGTTTGTAATTTTATTTGTGGCTTTAAAAATAAATCAGCATTAAAATGAAGAGAGACGGACTCCTTCGTTATTCAGATCTGTCCAATAAAAGAACTGGGGTAAAACACCATAGTAAAGACGACAAAATTTATTTGAAATAAAATTAGTTTGTGCATTTACATGGACCTGTCACTCAGGTTGTACCACTGTCCTCGTAGATCCATGTTATAAAACAGTAGTTTTCTCAGAAGAGGGGCCACGTCTTTGTCTCAAAATATAAAAAAAAACAAAAAAACTTTTTAAATGCAACTCAAGTTTGCAAAAGACTGAACCTCATTTCCAGTGTAGAAAGCTGGCAAAACCCAGTCAGCTTTTGTTATAGTAGATCCCATGGCAGTGAGAGACCCTCTGCTGTGCTGCGAGCTCTGCTACACAAAATAAAAATGTGCAAACCTTCATCTGTGTAAAATGGCACAGTAAACTCTGACTCCCTTTTAAATGCAGCACAATGAATAAGAATCACAAGCAGCAGTAGTGTATGGAGGTCAGGCCACAAACAAAGCAGACTCTCCGATAAACTTTAGTGTATGTAAATTGGTGTTGTTCTAAAGGTGCAGCTCATGTTTTTCTCGTTCAGGACGTTATAAATTAAGACACTTTAAAAGAAAATGCAAATGTTAAAAAAAATTTAAAATAGTTCCTCCTTGTCCATACTGCCTGTGAGTAACTGAAGCTGGTACTAAATACACTAAATCTGGAAGAAACCCACTCACTGCTGAAGCCTCATACTGGTGTCAACTGACCTTCATGAAGCATTTCTGACTGAAATGAGGACCATCTCCATTACACATCAGGAAGCAGGTACAGTAGGAACAATTACAGCAACCAGAAGTTCACTTCAATGCACGTACACTGTAAAGACAGTATTATAATGAGTACAACACAAGAAGTAAGTATCTTGATAATGTGCATGTCTTTGGCAGAGAGCAGTTCCCATCATCCATTGTTCTGGCTCGGAGAGGGTCAACAGCCTTTACAGGGGCTGCACGCTCTCATGGAAGTGCCTCAGCTGATAAGCTAATGCACCTCCACCTCGTGAGTCTCTTCTGAGGCGTCCAGAGACAATGATGACAGGCTCTCCCGCTCTGCACACTTGGGTGGAGGAACATATTTGCTCTCCAAGAAGTCACTACTTGCAGTCAAATCTCCACCAGCCACAGTTGAGTTAAGTTTCAGAGAGGTCATGTACGATGGGTCCTCCTCCTCCTCCTCCTCCTCCTCCTCATAGGCAGAATTGTCATTTTCCACAGGGCATCCATTCATCTGTAGGTCCACAGTGTTCCCTCTGGAAGCCTCAACATCTGACCAGGGTTCACCCTCCACAGGAGAAGTCTGCACGTAGCCGTTTGGAGCCTGAATCTCGACACTGATCCTTTCTTCATCACTGACCTTGATGATGCTTTCACCTGAAGACAGCAGTGGCTGGCTGTCCTCGTTGCTCTCATCTATGGTCCCAACCAAATCCATTTCCTGTTCCTGAGCCATTTCTTGCACAGTGTCGTTGCCACTACTTTCCACCCCTGAGACATTCTTCATGTTGTGAGTCTCATCATGGACTTGAGACTGAAGAGGCGTCTCCTCTGTGCTTCCACATTCATCACTGTCTGGCTGTCTTTGTCTGTCTGAGATTTCAGGATCTTTCAGACTTTTGACATCTGCCATGTGACCCTTGCTGCTATCAACATTTTTGCGACAGTTGACCTCAGTGATGACGTGATTTTCTAAAACCTGCCTTTCAGAGCAGCCTTCCAGAAATTCCTCCTGTGATCTGGCTTCACTTTCTACAACCTGTTCTTCAGAGTCATTGTCCTTAAAATCTAAAGTGGCTACTGCATTCACACATTTTCCAGGCTCACAGATAACCTTTTCAGTTTTTGCTTCTCCAGGGCTGTCCAACTGATTTCCTTCTGATTGAGCAACAGTCTTTTCTTCTGTATCTAATGTCATAATGCTCTCCTTTTCCTCCATGGGTGAGTGCACCTCCACTGGTGTCTGTATGCGACAGCTCATCTTCTGGTTCTGTTCTGCAAGGCTGAGGCTTTCGGGTTCATCTTGGTCATCACCCAGAAAAAAGGTTACGTTTGACAGGCCACAGTCACACTCAGCAACAGCCTCTAGATGGTTGTCCTTCTTGGAGCTTCTTACTGAGGATTTCTCCTTGTGCTGTAACCCAACTCTGTTGTCAACACAGAGCTCCAGTAAATCCTCAAGAGGGTCGGGGTCGCCACATGGCAAGAGCTCAGGGCTGAAGGTCCCTTTAGTTTGTAGGTAAGGTTGATGAGGAGCTGGGCTGTTGAGTGGGAAAAGGAAAATTTACTTTAACACATGCATGTTTCTTTTGACAAAAGAAGACTTAATCCTTAACAGACTTAATACCAAGCTAAGCTAACTGGCTTTACAGTAAAGACAAGAGTCATGACAATCCTCTCACCTAACTGAGCAAGTGAATAAGCTTCTGTAATTCAATACATTAGAAAATGATGCCCTTATGAGTATCTGTTTGCATCCAATATTCATTTAGCAGCAGTAAAAATAACTTCAAAATTACATAGCTTTAAACAGTAAGGGAAAACGCATAGGCAAAAGGCGATTTTCACATCAACGGCACTACAATAATAATTTACAACACTACCTTTCCATGGACTCGTAAGAAATGGTCAAACTTGGCTCCTTGATGGAATCGTCCTCCTGAGCCTGAACCAAGCCCTGATTGGATGAGGCATAGGTGAGGATGGCATCCGTTACAGAGTAGGGAGTGTGGCCCTGAATACAGTCCTGGATGTGACCGACCGGAAGCTGGGTCTGCAGGAACAGGTGGAGCTGGCTGTCTGATAGACAGACTGTCATGTGCACCACTCTGTCAGGACAAAAGGTCAAAAAGTAAATATCTGTTACCATGAATGTTGTTTGACAGGAGGTTTGCATTGCAAAACTGTAACTTCTTTTAGAAGAACAAAATGAACTGACTTGTCCAGGAAGACCTGCAGTCCTTTTCTTCTCCTCTCCAGAAAGTCCTCATTGCAGAAGGAGAAGAAGGATTTTCCTGGAAGGTCTGGGATTGGCCTAGGGCGACAAATGTGCAGATATGCTTCACTGTCCGTGTTGATATGCAGCCACATGTGAACATATGTTTTGTTTTGGAGATGTGTGATGAAACAATTTATGAATGGATGGATGAAAATACTGTTGTTAATGTAAATGTGTTAGAGTTACATAAGCCAAATTTTCTTCTAAAGGTCATAAGAGTTTATCTCAACACCATGTGACTTTTCTTCATGTGGGGCAGGATTTGATGTAACACAGGCTCATTTATTGAGATTTAAATAATCCTGGTGTTTGCAGTGTTATCTACAGTCAATCATGTCAAGGTTCTAATGTGCATTAAATAATGACAGGCAAGACTACAGCTGTCATTAGGGAGCCAAATGTTTTTTGTAGAGGGTCACATTTGGCCCAAGGGCGGTATGTCACTGACATACACGTGCTACTCTGTTAATATAAAAATTTGATTAATGCATCTATAGAGCACCAGATTAATAAACTGGAACATCAGTATCATATGATGTATAGCTCTCAGACTGTGTAAAATGGCCCCAGAGCCTGAGGCCCACATTTGTACCACTGGAAAGCTCACTGCCATCTCCTGGGGAAAGCAGCAGTAGCAGCGGCTGCTGGCTCCTCATAACAACTTACACCAAACCAGCGTTCTTCTGCAGCTTCTTCTTCAGCCAGGCAAACTCGCTATAGCGCCGCCGCACACATGACGTCTTGGCGGTGAAGGCTTTACTGTTGGTCTGCAAATGAACCAAATGTGCATGTGAGGAAATGTAAATTCCCATCGTAATTAGTGTTTCTTCACAAATCCCATAAAAAAAGAAAGGTCAACAATAGGCAGGGGTACAACAATGAACTGATCAGTAGGAAAAGAGCTGCCAACTATTTTGATACTCAGTTATTTGTTTCAGTATCACTGATGAAGATTTTGTGTGTTTCTGTTTTCTATCACAGTAAAGCGGTTCTATTTGAATTCTGAACTGTTGGTCGGAAAAAAGTTTACCGACTCAGAAACTGATGGACATGCCGCACTCCTTCCTGACCAGGTTGATTCATCGAGAAAATAATCAGCAGATTAATAGATAATCATTAGCTACAACCTTAATAATATGATCATACTGTACTAACAAGTACTGTCTGTATACCCAAAGCTTGATATAAGATATATAAAAATAACTTGTTCCTCTGTGTCACAGCGTTGTAGTTGTTACAATATGAAAAGTATAAAATAACACCAGTCTTGTTGTTTACATTTACTGTATTAATGTTACACTGACTGTGTCTAGCTGTGGGCCTACTGTGTGACTGGAATGACTCCTGCTCCAGCTGTTTCACTTTCCTGACGAGTTTGTTTTACAACCTAAATTATGACAACCCAGAGTTGAGTCCAGGATGCAGGGTCGCAGTCTTACACACCTCTCTGCTGTCTCCTTGCAGCTGCTACCCACCCAACGCTCCCAGTACCCCATAGAGACTGTGTCTGCCCCCCGCCCACCTAAATTATATAAATCAAGAATCAACTCCAGAGGAGTTATTCATAAGAACCTAATTAAAATTAAGATGACTCCTCTTATAGTAGAAAGTAATAGGACAATCAAATGTGGACTATTAAATATCAGATCTCTCACATCTAAATCTCTGTTAGTGAATGATTTGATAAGTGAACATCACATTGACTTATTGTGTCTTACTGAAACATGGTTACAGCAGGAAGAATATGTCAGTCTAAATGAAGCCACTCCACCTAGTTACAGTAACTGTCACATCCCTCGAAACACAGGCCGAGGTGGAGGTGTGGCAGCAATCTTTGACTCAAGCTTATTAATCAACCCTAGACCTAAAC